ATATGTCTATATATCTATGTTTGAATCTATTCCTCTAGTGATCTCTTAAACTCCACATTTATATCTTCATAATCTATGCAAAGATGGAAGCGTGTTGTGCTAGATATTTTCCTTGCCAGAATCTATCTTACACATGTACAGGGTATCATCTCCAAATTGATATCAATTAAAATACGAATATTTGAGTAATTCTCCGTCTGAGGAAATCGAAATTAAAGCTTTTTATTTAATTTCTTTTTTTTTTTTTTGTATTCGTACAAGTATTTTCTTTTCTGGGATAAATTCTCCAATTACTACATATCCTACGTAGAAAACATATTTAAACAAGTCACTAAACCCAAAATATATGGCCGTTGCGAGACGATAATTTTTTAGTTTTATTTTATAAAAAAATAAACAAGAAACTGATAATTTCAAAACCACATATGAAAAAAAATACTGTCCTTAACTTTACCTACGAAATAATACCCCCCCCCCGCAAAAAAAACCTACCATTCTTAGGTGTTCTTGTAGAATACTGTAACAACACTTTCACCACCTGATTGTATAAAACCCCACTAGCCACCTTAAATATAAGAGCGAATGTCCACTCAGATACAAAATAGCAGTGATAAAAATGTCATAAAAAGAGCACACAAGGATTATAATCTGATTATGTATGTATTGAATTTTGCAAGATTTCATCCTTCCCTGCCTATATCACCACTTCAAATGTATCTAAGTTGTAACGAAGCTTTACATCCCATTAGATTAACGTTTGTTCTGAGTTTTTGGCCTTTCAATTAAAACAAAATAAATAATAAAGTATGTATTTTTTTCTCAGTTGCTTCTTTAAATAATTTTATAATATTTTAAACTTAATACGGATTAAATTTAAAATTTAAAATTGGTAATTTTTAATTTTCAGTTTTATAGCAAAATTTAAAATTAATCAGTTAGAATGATTTCTATTTTAGTCTAACCGTAACATTAAGGCGTTAATTATTATAACAAAGGTTTGATGTCAAGTTTTTTGAATTCTCATATACTTGTATTTTGATTGGTCATTGCAGCTTATGTAACAGCGTTTTCCCTATCGAAAGGGTGTTTGGTTGGTTTGAACCTTTTAAAACTCTTTATTCTACATTCAACACCATCACTTGATAAGACACCAGAAATGTTGAAACAAAATGGCTATTTTTTGTTGTGATTTTATAACATATTCATGTTATAATTTTCTAATAAATTATATATATATATTGTTACAGTAAAAATTGTCCAAATCGTGTTACAGCATCCTACAAAATATTTAATATCTAAAGTACCACTAAAGTAATTGAATTTCTTCTTTCCGGGTTTTCAGATAAGACGTTTATCAATCTTGATACCATTTGGCGTAAGCGTCACTAAAAAAAACCTTTGAGTTATTCAACTAGAAAGAGAACAGGTTAAATATGTTTTTTGTAAGCCCTACTCTCTTCCCTAATAAGCAATAGTGGGAGGAAAAAGTTAATCTGCTAGATAACCTTTTAAACACCGGGTACATTTTCGCGCCTTAATATGCTAAGTATGAGTACACGTGGTAAAAAAGAGAAATATGACAGTTTCATATATAAACACCGACATCAGGGTTACGGTAACGGGTTTGTTATTTACAGGCGAGAATGTAGAATATACGTTCGGAGAAAGCTCCCAAAGCCCGACAATTACAAGATGGACGAACTCCGCAGTTGAATCAAATATAGTGTTACTTATTAGAGATTTGGTATCGTCTTCGTTTCTTTTCGTTTTTAAACATTTAATTTCTTTTCTATAGTAATTTTCAACAAATACAATGTTCAAGCGCCTTTTAAGATAGAGGGCTACTGAGTACTGTCGTATTAGCGTAAGAGATAGCAAGCAGCTTGCAATGGAAAGTCACCGGTGCAGGCATTGCAACATGTACGCCAACAGCAGTTCCATTTTAAAAAAAACCTTTTTCCGAAGTCAGTTCCTGAAATTAAGAAATGATTAATGTTTAATCACTGCCAATTCGGATATGATAAAGAAAAAACATTAAAATATATTGTAATGAAAATTTAAATTTCTAGATTTAAAAAGAAAAATTGTATGCCGCTGTTAGGGATCTGCAGGAAGGTAATGACTAGCGAGCTGAGCTCAAATCCCGACCGAGTTTGTGCAAGTACCCTTTGAAAATGTAGTTATCTATCTATTTTTCGCACCTAGCCATAAGTTAAGTAGCATGGCTTACCAGGATTTTGCAGGATCTGGAGTGAACTTGATATCCAATAGACGATACTAAGCATGCGTTTATATTTAAGAAAAAAGGGGGAAAAACAGAATAAATAATTTCAGTGAGTATAAAAAGTAAAATATAGACTCCCAAGCCTCTCAGTAAAGAAAGAAAGCAAATACATTTCTCTTTCTGACGTCACAAATTCAGTCGGTGTAAGTTAATATATACTGCCTCTAAAGTGTACAGAGGTTTTGCCAACCGTGCTTTGCCCAAAAAGAAAAAAAAACACTAATCCATGTATTTATACGCACAATCTGGATTATCTAAAAGGTGCTGGCCTGTCACGGGATCCTGTACCGTCTGTGTCGGATGTGTATTACGGGTAATAATACTCTTTTTTCATATTGCCAGGCACATGTGCAATCCGCGTTTCAAGGCGCTGATTGATTCACCCTGTGTAGTCAGCGACTCCCTGACATTTAAATTTGTCAACGACCAAATTATTTTGTATATATACATAATAATGTTCACTCAATCCAAGACCAAACAGAGATTCGAAGTAGAAGGTTCCAGTATGGTTTTCCATGAGCAAAAGAGAAGTGCAGTTTATTAAGTCATGCAAGAAAAAGATTGATTTGATTTTTTACGGTTTATCAATTTTCTGAGGTTATTTAAAACCAAAACATATTTTTGGAGTGTTAGAATGTTTTGGAGATAATAATATTTTTTTTTTATTCATGTCTTATTATTTAACCCATAACTGGGGGGGGCGACGAGGTAGATCCATACCTTCCCCATTTGAACGTAAGTGAATATAACGAACCCCACTGAAATTCGAACACGGCTCTCTAATTTCTCATTCCGAGATTTATCCATTACACCACCCATACATTCAAGCTTACAACACATAGTATTCGCCAGAGGTCACCCATCTAGGTACTGTCTAGGTTCACCGTTACTTAACTTCGGTGATCGGACGAGAACCGGTGTTTCACTGTGATATGGCTGTTAACTTGGTTCACCCTAGACATGAAGTTTTAATGTTGTAGTGATTGGAAAGACATTCTGCTGGGAATCTCTTCTACAAAGCAGTACTTCTTGGAAAGAAGCTGTCCGAGAGGAATTTCCAACTGGAATACGGTGATGGAACTATGCTCTATAGAACACATGCCATGGAAATAATGTTAGAATAGCAGGAAATTTGCGATGTATTTCGGGAGGAAAAAGATTTTGTCTCGGAAATAATTAATCACCCACAAGACCTTTTTTTTTTTTTTAACTCTATCAAGAGAGGCAAGGGAGGATTATGTACCTTCAGCTCAAATATGTCAGCCATACTCCATTTTTGGTTTGATCCGGCTCATATAAAGATAGAATTTACAAGGGACTGTCAGATACTTTCTGAAGCAGTACACTGACCCAACTATTTTCCCAGCATCTTTACCAATAGATGAATCCCATTTGAGGTCTGGGACCAGCTTGAGTTCCAATAGACGTTTATGGCAAGGCAACGCTTTGATTTGGTTGATTTCTTTTCCACGGTTTATCAACCCTTTGAAGGTTATTTAAATCCAGAAAATATTTTTAGATTGTAAGAATATTTTTTTTTAGATAAAAATCATTTTAGTGATAAAAGTTGTACTAATTAACCTATAGCTGGAGTATATTCAGGTATATTCATACCCTTTACGAGGGTATTTGCGCGTTGGTGAATATAACGAACCTAACAGGAATTTGAACTCGGCTCTTCGATTACCAATTCTGAGCCTTTATTCTTTACACCATCCGCACATCCAAGCTTGAAGCACCCGGTATTTCCAAGTGCTCACCCATATAGGTACTGACTAGGCTCGACGTCGCTTAACTTCGGTGATCGTACGGGAAGCAGTGCTTCAAGGTGATGTGACCCTATGCCTAGAGCCTCTTTGAATTTCAGGGTTTGCTCAGTGATGATCCTGGTCTCGGCACCATAAGGATACTGTTGCAGTTTATGCTCTAAGAGGCAGTGGGAAGAATGGAGACACAGAACGCATGTTGCACATTGGCTCAGTGTATTTCCGCGGGTGGTCACAGTTGGTCGCTAACATGGGTGTGGGAGGCGTATCGACACTTCAGAATTCTTGCGGCCATCTGTTTAATTCCCGCCGTTTTGGACTTATATCCCAAACCTAGACAAAGGTAATCAGTCACTCTCAGAATAACACGCCTACGAGACACCCCGATGAATCACTGATCATTTTGGCCCTGGCCCTCGCATTCTGTAACAAAGTTTAGTTTTGGACATATTGGGTCTTTCAAGACAGTTATTCCCCTGTCGAGCTACCAGGGTTAGGCTGGAGAAGAGGAATATTCATTTCTTCTTGATTTTCAATTGCATCCAGAGATTTAATTTTAGGTTAGACTTCCCTGCTAATCTGATTTTGGAGTATCCCGATTAATTTCCAAACCATGTGAATGATGTTCATAGCTTGCTTTGATCTGATAATGAAATAATTGCGCAAGGCAAACATATTATCTACTTGTTTTTCCTCGAACAGAGTAATTAGATGCGTGCTTTGATCACTTTTGATAATAAGCTAGAGACAATTTTGAAACTTATTTTTAGTAAACCCACTAGGAGAAAGAAAAAGCAAAAAAAAAAAGAAATACTAGAAATAAGAGGAAACTAATGAGAAGAAGAAGAAGAAGAAGAAGAAGAAGAAGAAGAAGAAGAAGAAGAAGAAGAGAACAATTAAAAAGAAAGAGGCTAAGGACAATGAGAAAACGAAAGAGAAAGACAAAGAGAATCGGTTTTAAATGGAGAGAGTCATGGAGGAAAAGTAGATGACGATAGCAAAAGAGAAGCAAAATAAGAACAAAATGACTTTAAAACAAATAGTGAAAGCGCTGAAAAGTTATCAGCCAAACCAACTTCTCAAAATCAGTATTCTCCTGACTAACCATCCAGATTCTGAATAAGAGAAGCCGGCCGCGCTGAGAACTTTGCGTCGCCGATCTAACCCAGTTCTATCATCAGTCACAATGAGCGGAAGTTCGCTCAGGGAGGCCCCGTGCCTTGAGCAACTATTGGGAATTAAACTCAATCCAGACCTTAAGTAGAACATCTACATACGGTCCATCGCTAAAGATGAAGTAAAAAATGGTCCGTTCACTTTACCGCTCCAATAAGTATCTGACTCCTTCCTAATCCTCTACTTCTGCAAGTGTCAGATCAGACTAAAAATGGAGTACTGTGTGGGCAGGAGCTGCTCAGTCTTCACTTCCTTGGTTCTATAGAATTCTAAAACGTCAGCGCATTCTCGTGAATGACAAACTATTTCCCACCCTACGACACCTCGTCTCAAAGACGAAATGTTGAAAGCTTCTCGTTGCTCTATCGCTATATCCATGGAAAATGCTCAGACGAACCACATTCTTTAGTTCCCCCAGTTCTACCCTCCAAGACTAAGACCCGCCATGACACGCAGATTGAAGGGAACTACACTCATTAACTTCGTAAGCCATTGATGAAATGTAATGTTCCACTCGAACAGCCCAACGGAAATTGCTCAGATGAACTACATTCCTTTGTTACTTCTCGGTTAAATCTCACCATGACACGCATATTGTAACGACCCTCCCTTAATCCCATTCGTATTCCATTGTTGAGATTTAATTTCTACAATGCAGCTTTTACCCACGAATCACTGGTTTGTGGAGCCGACTGCCAAGAAGATACTTGCACGATCACTACCATCTTAGCCTGTAAAATGTTACAAGTCTCTCTGCTGCATTCCTTATTCCCGCCACTTCTAACCTTCACGGCTAAGACCCGCCACGAGACGCAGATTGAAGCGAACCACCTTCATTATCTTCGTAAATCATTGGTGAGAAGAAAATTCCACTCAAACAACCTCTTCCTTCGAACCACGGGTCTGTGGAGCCGACTGTCACAGCTCTATCGCTATTTCCATGGAAAATGCTCAAACGAACTACATTCGTTAGTTCCATCAATGTATAAATCGCTCTTTACTGTGGTTTGTAACACATCTATTTATCATCTCTTAGTTGCGTCTCTGTCTTTGGGTAGAGTGCATTCAGGGGCGACTCCGTCAAAGGCAGAGTCGCAACTGAGAAAAATTATACTGAGAGCTGCCCAGCCCTGGGGAGCAGCTGCCCGAGGCTGAGCCCTCTCATTGCACCAAAGAGAGGGATTGGTGGTCGCACCGTGGCCAGCGCAACTGACGGTTACTGAGATTGCGGACAATTTTTGTTCCTGGCCCGGGTTTACGCGCTCGGATTCCCCACATTAAAAAGAAGACTTTATGTCACAACTCGTCTTAGTGGAGAGACAGAGTAAATACCTAGTTCTACCTGTTAAGGCCCACCATGCCACGCACATTGTAACCAAACATTCTTCCTATTCCATTAGAGGCTTGTAAATTTAATATGGGCAGATTCTTCCCAGAGAACGCTGCTTTGTGAAATCGACTCCCAAGAGAATACTTCCCCAATCACTACAAACATGTTCAAGTATTAATCTTTTCCATATATCTGCCTAAACTGTGCCTCTTACTCTGTAAGTGGCCGAGTGACTCTCGGAACTTATACCGGGTTAACATTAATGTAAAAAACAGTTTTCGTTGATGTAGGATAATTAGTATTAAATGTATAACTAATTTTTTGTTCGAAAAACAAGAAATAGACGCGAGAAGAAGTAAAAAGAAAGAAAAATAATTGAAAGCAGGGAAGAAAGAAATACAAAAGTGAACGAAAAATGAAGAAATGAAAGACAGAAAACAATGAAAGAAGATGAAGAATGTAACATTCAGGCTGGACAAAATTCAAAAGGAAAAACGAATAAAAAAGAAGCAAAGAAAAAAAACGAAAAAATAACAAATGAAGAAGTTAAAAAGAAAAGAGACCGTGAAGGAAGGAAGGAAGGAAGGAAGGAAGGAAGGAAGAAGAAGAAGAAGAAGAAGAAGAAGAAGAAGAAGAAGAAGAAGGTATTTCTCAAGAGAAAAGAAATTGGCAATTGAGGGGCAAAAATCAATTTAAGTAGAAGAAAATGAAAAAAAAACAACTAAAGGAAAAAAAAGAAGAAAATCAACGAAGAAGAAATATAAGATTTCTCGAGAGAAGAAAAGGAATGTACAATGAAGGACGAAAAGATCAATGGAAGAAGAAAAAGATTCAATAAAAGAATAAAAGAAAGAATCGACAAAGAAGAAGAAGAAGAAGAAGAAGAAGAAGAAGAAGAAGAAGAAGAATGAACTATTTACAGAGAAAGTGTACTTAAAAACCATAGTAATTTCTCCAGAATTCATTTACTGATGTAATTTCGCACGCATTCAAAAAGCAGAACGAAAATCGATTCAACCAAAACATCAACAACAACATAATGAAAATAAAACTAGAAAGTTTAAAAGAACATTTAATCAGAGAGCTCCCATGCTCGCCTTTTTCTCGCTAATCAAACCCAATTTTCATGACGACTGCGCCGACCTTTTCGAGTGAAATCACGTGACAAACAGAGAACGATCAGGTCTAATGTTAATGCGATCTGTCTCTCGTTCAGGTTTTCCCTCTTCACCGAGATTTCAGATTTGTAAATGTTTTGCGCTTAATTTGACGTCGAAACAGATTGGCGAACGCCAACAATCGAAGTCATCAATAAAAGAGGGAAGTTCTTCATACAACAATGCAAGGATACTACTGATCAAGGCTTGCGAATCGATATCCAGCGAGCTTAGGTCGAGAATGCTGTGATTTGAGCTTAACTTTTTCTGTGATCAATAAAACAGTCCGGAGAGTGAACGATGTCGTCCTTGCTATTCGAAATTTAAAAGAAATATATAATTAGTCGCCTACGGTTTAGCATCAGGGTTAAATCATGGAAAATATGGAATCGGAGAAACGCTCGATAATCCTCTTCAGAAAGGCATGAGCCCGTATCTGCTTGAATTTTATCCCATCATAAGCTATCTTCAGATAGTTTTATTGATGGTGTTTGAAGAAGAATTTGAATGATTAGGAAAACAATTCATACAACAGTTACTTTTTTACCCAAGCGTTTGTTGCAAAGGAAAGAAAAAAGCCGTTACGAGACTACTACTCTTATTGATATGGCAGTCCCTGCTGTCTGCAATGTATCTTTGAAAATATTCAAAAAGTTGTCAAAATACAAGGACCTTGAAATAGAAATCTCGAAAATGTGGCATATGGGAACATCAACAATCCCTGTTGTAGTTGGACCTTAGGGCTGATTGGAAAAGATTGCAGTAGACTAATTGAAGGGATTCCTGGAAGTCCATGTCTCAAGGAGATACAAAAAATTGTTCTGACAAGTACAGTCCACACTTTACGGAGCGCTTTATCTATGTATTTTTTTTTTTTTGTCTGTGGAAAGTGTCATGATGCCATTTCTAACCTTAGGTCCCTGGGCGGGACCCGGAAAGAAATGTGTAAACGCCAGAAATCAAAGAAAATAATAATAATAATAATAATAATAATAATAATAATAATAATGAGCTAATATGTGCAATGGAAAATAGGCCACTTTCTCAAGAAGGAAATTGCAAGAAACAGATATGATCCCCCAGACCCGGTTACAGAGATTGTGACCCGTAACAATTTTATGGGACTTTACAATACACACAGACAGAAAAAAACAAAGCTAATTGCCCGGAGATCGGGATGAAAGATGAAAAGCAAAAAAGCAAAAAAAAAAAAAAAAAACACAAAAACACACAATGTGCTTTCTTATTGACATGGTATTCATATCCAATCTTATTGTTTTCCATATGAAGAGGATCGCAAATTATTGATGTTGCTGTTCCATATGATACATGAATGGAACTGAAAAGATCGAAAAATATCAGGATCTGACTATGGAGTTGAAGAGGTTATGGAATTGGAATGTAAAACTAATAGATGTAGAAATGTTTCTCTTTGAAATATTCATAATAAAACTGAAAAACGCTTAGGGAGAATTAGAGTTGAATCCAAACTGTCGACCTTCATGAAATTGCCATTATTTGCTCTGCGAGGATTCTCCAAAAAGTTCTTGAGTTGTAAGGATTCTTAAAGACACCATTCCCCAAGAGAAAAATTTTCATTGACTTAGGGAATGAGCACTATCAACATGAACATCAATTAACCATTTTCATTATCTTTGTATCTTCAGTTATTTTATGAAAAATCAATATTTCAAGTTGTATAAAAAAAGAATATATCATATTTTCAGAAAGTGGTAATTCAGGGTGAAATAGAATATAAAAAAAACAACATTAAATAGAATTAGAATAATATTAAAAAATAGATAGATAGATAGATAGATAGATAGATAGATAGATAGATAGATATGATTGCTGAAATTTATTACGGATTATCAACCATTTGTGGGTTATTCAAAGCCGAAAGATATTTTGGTTGGGTATGTAAGAATAATTATTTTTACGAATGAATATTGTATTACCATTTTTTAAAGGTAACATGGAATCTTCAAGACACAAGTTCTGCTATTTAAGCCAGAGCAGAGAAGATCTGAATTCATACTTTATCCAAGGTTATTTGCGTGTAAGTGAATGTAACCAATGGAATACGAAGTCGCCCCCTCCCCGATATTTCTCATACCTAACCGCTACACTTTAAGACAAATATGTAGAGGCTGAGATAGATAGCTGGAGAGATAGATAGATAACAATACTGAGATAGATAGATAGATAGATAGATAGATAGATAGATAGACAGACATACAGATAGATAGATACTGAGATAGATGTTAACAAAGGTAGATACAAAGTTTTTTGACATAGATAACGTCATCATCTGTGTCACTTATTCGGACTATTGTCATCATCTGTGTCACCATATTTATTACAACGTTTGGCCTTTGTACACTCCGGCCAACAGGTGGTTGGAATGTCGAACTGAACCCTTTATTTTCGTTTTGTTCTAGTTCCATGTGCCATGTTTAATGGATGTCAACAAAAATTGCAATATGAGCTCTGCTAAAAAACCTGGAATTATAACAGCAAGAATTGCAATATTAGCACTGGTAAAAACATGGTTGATGAAGACATTAGGTTTATTATACCTAGAAATTCATGCACAAATGTTCTCAAGGACACATGGCACAGTGTGTAAAGGCGTTGATTAGATCCAGTGTGAGTTCAATGCCCGGATAAGGCAGTGGAGAACTTGGAGAATTAATAAATAATAAATGATATCCATTAAACATGGCACGTGGAACTAGAACAGAGCGAAAATAAAGAGTTCGACATTCCAATCACCTGAAGAAGGCCGGCGCGTACAACAACCGAAACGTTGTAATAAATATGGCGACAATCATGATGACAATAGTCCGAATAATGTAAATTCTGTTGTACCTACCCCATCTCAGAATATAGATAGATAAATTCACTGAAAAAAAGGCCCAAGAACAACTCAAGATAGAGCGTTACTGAATGAGATTATTGTAGAAAATTAAGAAGTGTTTATTAGATAACGGTTGACCATGCACTTAATCAGGTTAAAATTGTGTAGTGATAGGTGAAGCATCGCGGCCGTCTGTTCCTCAAAATAAGAGTTCTTAGGAAGAAGCTGACTTAGTGAAATATCCACCTTACCAATACACTGAAAACATTTATTTTTATGCCTGGTAACATTTTTGATTTAAAGTATTGCTGATAATTTTTCTTCCTTCAAATATATATATATATATATATATATATATATATATATATATATATATATATGGTAATAATTTTTACAAAGTATTTCAGGTATTAAAACCTATTTCTACACTTTCATAGTATTTTAATCACAGTTTGGGGGGTTACTTATTTGCAAATAGCTGGGACCCTAACAGGTGCTACCACCCCCGGTCAATGTAGACTTGAGAACATTGAGGTGGTTCTACGTTCCTCAAAACCTTCTGTTCAGATGCCTTGCTCTTGGACGTAGTTTATCGTCTTACACAGGACGCGGATGTAGTTTATCTTCATACCCAGGACAGGAAAGACCAATTCAGATAAGTTATGACATTCAATAGACCAAAATATTAATTAAGTAAAATCTTTTAGTATTGACGTTATTTTTCTGCACCAACTCAATGAACCCGGTATCATAAAGCTCTTCTGTCGATAAAGCTTATCGTAAATAGCTGATCAATAGCAACCATTTACGTCCACATGTTCAATGCATTGCGTCAGGAAAATAATTTTCTATGCAATTCTATTGTTAGAATCATTGGCAATGTACTGGAATTACTGGCCATTGACAATTAACAATAAAGTCGGAGGCGACAGACTGTTTCATGCTAAACGTAGTCATCAGGCCTGATGAATGCGTTTAGCATGAAACTGTCTGTCGCCTCTGAGGGTTGACTTCAATGTTCACTTTTATATTTTCATTGGCTTTATCTTTGACATTGAGCACTTAATCCCATAAATGTTGCATACCTTAATATATATCTTGATAATATTAGGGTCAATACATATATATATATATATATATATATATATATATATATATATATATATATATATTCATAAGAGGATAGAATCCAGGTAGAACTAAATTTCCAGGACTGAGTAAGAATATAATATAATATAAAAGGCTCAAACACTAATATTCCATGGTTATTATTTATTACATTGGAATCGTAATCACGATCAAATCATCAGACGTACAAATTCAAAAAGTTATGATGAAATGGATGGTGATTACGATTCAATGGAATAAGTTATAACCATGAAATGTTTGTTTGAGATTTTATATATATATATATATATATATATATATATATATATATATATATATATATATATATATTCGCAAATCGAGGATCAGACAGAAGTCGTTTTTGCTAACAATGCGATTTCCACAGGAAAAATGTACCATCAACAAAAACATCTGACTGTGAATAATTCCCATTTCTCTGTATATATATTTAATATTTAATGAATGTTTATCGTACTGATTATATTGGTATCCTTTTTGTTTTCCTTGTTTTATTAACTCACTTATTATATATATTCGAGATTCGATGTATGAGGGTCAAGCAGATCAGTTTCCATGAAAACCGACAGCCCGACACCGGCACATGAGATTTGATTATAGTGGTTAAGGCCTCGTGCAGGACCATCCACACTTTTTGAAGGGACGAATACAGAGACCTGATGCACCGAATGCCACAAGGTTCCCAAACGACCCTCCGCAGGTTTTGAATTCAGAGTTGTCCTTCTCTTAGACCAGTTGCCATCCAAGGCTATAGAACCCAGTCTGTCCTGCTATTTTACCC